CTCTCCTCTCTCTCCTCTCTCTCTCCTCTCTCCTCTCTCCTCCTCTCTCTTTCTTCCTCCCCATCAGATGCAAGTGGTGCATCAGCTGCAGCGCACATCCCTCTGGAACCACCCACTTGAGCGGCCTGTGCTGGTAGGTTCACTGCGGTACTGGAAGGTTCACTGTGGTACTGGGGGGTTCACTGCGGTACTGTTGGGTTCACTGCGGTGACGGTGGGAATACTGCAGTTCCTTATGGTCTGTGCCTTCCATTTTACCTCAAAGTTCTACTCGCCCCAATAAGGACCCCCTCCTCTTGCCTTGCTTCCTTCAAGCACAGGTGCTGGCAGTGGCTCTGGGAATGCGGTGCCATAGCAGTATCATGCGGTTTTATAATTTTCTCTTCCTTACCCCGTTGTCTTCTCTCCCCACCTTCCCCTCACAGTTACTGGCAGTGGCGCTGGGGGTGCTGTGGCAGCAGTACCGGTCAGTGTTCGGCCGGCCAGCCCCCCCCAAGCAGGAGGAGCGAGGGACGAGCCTCCTCTCTTTCTCTCCCGCTCCTGTCAAATCCTCTTCTCTCTTGTCACCCCATTCTGCTCTTCCCCGCCTTCCCGTCAAATCCTCTTCTCTCTTGTCACCCCATTCTGCTCTTCCCCGCCTTCCCGTCAATTCCTCTTCTCTCTTGTCACCCCATTCTGCTCTTCCCCGCCTTCCCGTCAATTCCTCTTCCCCGCACAGGTGCTGGCAGTGGCGCTGGGGGTGCTGTGGCAGCAGTACCGGTCAGTGTTCGGCCGGCCAGCACCCCCCAAGCAGGAGGAGTTGAAGGCAACACTGGGAGCAGCGGGGCTGCCTTCGGTGTATGCGCGCATGCTGCTAGGGGTGGAGCAGATGAGGGAGATGAGCCCGATAAGTGCTCCGTTCAAGGAACAGCGGTGAGGGCTCTTGTTGGTTGTGTTTTGGGATCAGATGTGGGCGCTGAGTGTGCATAGGTGGGTCTTTGCTCGGAGCAGCAGGGCTGCCGTCAGTCTATGCGCGTGTGCTGCTGGGGGTGGAGCAGATGCGGGAGATGAGCCCGGTCAGCCAGCCTTTCAAGGAGCAGCGGTGAGATTTGGTTTTTGTTGTGGTTGAAATTGCTTGCATGCGATGAGGGCAACAAGTGCAACGTGGTGAGTAGTGCTGCTGGGGGTGGAGCAGATGCGGGAGATGAGGCCCACCAGCCAGCCATTCAAGGAGCAGCGGTGAGACCTTGGTCTTCTTTGTTGTGCTGCTAGCTTGTAGCAGCGGGGCTGCTGTCGCTTTATGCTCGCGTGCCCTACTCTATCCTCCCTTCCACCATTCTTTCTCACAAACTCCTACTCTCCTCAACCCCCACGCCTGCTTTTCCCTGCAACAACCAATCAGAAGAGAGCTCTACGCCATCCTCCCTTCAGCGGTGCGTCGGCGCCTGGCCAAGCGGCTGAAGCAGCGATCCAAGCGGCACATCGACGGGGCGATCGCGCGGGACCTCAGAGGCGTGGTGGGGGATATCCTCAAGTGGGCCGTGCCTCTGGCTGAGCGGACAGAGGTGTGGAATGGAGACAAGTCGTTTGGCGCGCAGAGGAGGGCACGGGCGCACCGCACGCTGCTGGTCGAGGTGAGGGACGGGTGGGGAGGGTTTGCGGTTGACTCTGGTAGCTTAAGCTGCTATGGTGATAGACGGGCCGATAGCTGGGGCCCTGAGGGGCGTGGTGGGGGATATCCTCAAGTGGGTCGTGCCTCTGGCTGAGCGCATAGAGGTGTGGAATGGCGACAAGTCGTTTGGCGCGCTGCTAGTGGAGGTGAGTGTTGCACTGCTGGTGTGTCGGTATGTTGAAGGGTTGATTTTTTAGGCGCCTCAGAAATCAACTCAATGAGTGTTGCACTGCTGGTGTGTCGGTATGTTGCAGGGTGATGTACTTGCGAGAAAGGGGGGATGGGAGGGTGGGGTGTGGGAGGAAACTAGACGGGGCAACCGCGCGGGACCTCAGGGGCGTGGTGGGGCCGTGCCTCAAGTGGGCCGTTCCTCTGGCTGAACGCACAGAGGTGTGGAATGGCGACAAGACGTTTCGTCATTCACTATCTGTCCCCTCTCCTCCTCCCCTCCTACCTCTCCCCGCCTACCACTTCCCACATCCATCTCCGCGCCTCCCTTTTGATTCATTTCTAAAGATTTCCTGTCCTCCCTTTCGCCGCTCTCCTCCTCTCCCCCTGCTCTCCTCCTTTCCCCCTCTCTCCTCCTCTCCCCTGCTCTCCTCCTTTCCCCTTCGTCCCCTATATTAGACGCTTCACTACTGCGACAAGGACAAGATTGAGGCAGTGCTGGTGGAGCTGCTGACCTCCTTCTCCCTCGTCACCCTCCACGCCAAACGCCCACATTCCCAACTGTACCCCTTCCATGCCACCTCCCTCATTCTTTTCCCCCTGTCCCCCATACCAGACGCTTCACTACTGCGACAAGGACAAGTTTGAGGCAGTGCTGGTGGAGCTGCTGACCTCCTTCTCCCTCGTCACCCTCCACGCCAAACGCCCGCACCCGCCCTCCAAAGCCCGCCCTCCCTCCGCCCCGATCCGACGCAAGCAGCCAGGCTCGGCCGAGCCTAAGAACCAGGCCGCCTCGCGGCCGTCCACCGCTCCTGCCTTTCCGCCTTCGGCGTCTGCTCCCACTTTTGTCAACAGTAACAGTATCAGCAACGGGTATGGTAACAGTGAGGGCAACAGCAACAGCAACGATAACAGTGGTACCACGGGCACTGCTTATGCCAAGTCACAGTCTGTTTCTGCCCTTCCTGCTGCTGCTGCTGCTGCTGCTCCTGCTTCTGCTGCTGCTGCTCCTGCTCGCCCTCCCCCCATGGCCCGTGCGATCTCTATCACCGATGCACCCGATGGGGGCATAAGGCAACCCCGTACCAGCCCCTACCATTCCGGTCCTCCCAGTTCCCCCCGTGCCGGACCTGCTTCTAGAGCAGGCCCTCCCGGACCTGCACCTATGGCTCGGTCGGCTTCCAGTGCTCCTCCACCCATGGCTCGTACTGCAGCCGAAACTCCTCCTACTGGTCCGGCCATGCCTAGGCCCGCTTCTCATTCAAGGCCTGGCCCTGGACCAGCTCCCGGACCTGGAGGGCCCAGAGGCAATCAAACCGGACCTCGCCCCAGGCCTGGTGCTGGCCCCGGACCTCGGCCTTCTCCAGGCCAGGCGATGCCTGGGAGGGGAGGTATGGGACCCAGAGCTGGGATTCCTCCAAATCAGGGTCCCATGCGGCCAGGCCCCACCGGACCTCAGGCTCGGCCCGGACCTCCGTATCGAACTGGAGCTCCGGCGCAAAGGCCAATGCAGGGAGCAAGGCCGATGGGTCCGGGAGGAGGTATGGGAGGAGGCCGGGGGGGAGGTGGGGGAAGGGGAGGTGGAGGTCCAGTTTACCGGCCATCCCCAGCATCCCCAGTATTGGATGATATTGATGGGATGCCGATCCGACGGTCAGGAGGGAATGTTAGTGCTGGGCAACGCCAGAAGATTCAGCAGAGAGAGTGGCTGAAGAGGGAAGTTATGCAACAGGGGGGTTCTCATGCGATGGGATGAAAAAAATTGTGGCTTCCTACCATGCACGGTGAAATATCCATTCAACTACCCTGAACAATGATTATTTATTGTAATTAGGTGATTTCTTATTACGACAACGCGAAAACGCTCTTTCGCGTTTAGCGAACCACAAGAACGCTGTCCTTGTTGATGGCCGAGCCGCGACGGGCTGGTTGAAGATATCGTGGCGACGTCGTCGCCTCACACGGTGGACGAGCTGAATTGAAACCCTCTAAACTCCGACAAATATACGCGAAACACTTCAAGCCCGACGTTGTGGAAATCTCGGCGAACCGCGCGGTTGGCGCAGCGCCTGATTGGTGGAGTGTGGCGGCCTCAGGGGTGGAGCATGGCGCCCTCTGATTCGCCCTTCAGCGCTTCGTTCTGCAAATCAGCAAATCCTGGTTCGAGAATCCCTGTCCAGCCGCAGATGCGTCAGATTTGAACAAAACGGGAGGGGAGGGCGGAGAAGTTCTCCTTCTGCAAGCCCTCCGAGAATTCACTATCGGCGCCGATTTCGTTCTCTCAGCACGGAATACCACCAAACAGCTGAGAGAACGAAATCAGTGTAGATTGCACCAGCTGCGCCAGCTTCTCTGCAACCGCAACAGCTCCCTCCCCGCCCCTAAGCAAGCAGCGGCGCCCCAAACTGCACTGCTCCACCCGCGATTTTCCCACTGCCCTCGCTCCCACTAGCTCCACCCCATCGCACCAGATTTTCCCACTGCCCTCCCCTCGACAATCCCACTCCATCCCACCTCCCGTTCTATTAGGGCGTGTAACCATTTTGCCATTTTTCCATCCGGACGGTCCGAATTGTGGACCGTCCGGATTGGCGAAATGTTACCCACTTCGTGCACCTTCGTGTAGTATTTCGCCAAGACCCCTTGCGACGTCGCCAAAAACAACGAACCATATGACACTTTTCTCCCTTTCCCTCCGTCCGAAACTGCCATTTCGGACCGTCCGAAACCACAACGGACGGTCCGCCACCACTACGCCTGGATTGGCGCGCGAAATTCATATCTACACCCCTCTGCCGAGCCGCCCTGCGCAAAATTTTGGCGCACATGCGGCCCGATATTGTCAATCAGAACGCCCGAGATGGATCACCCAGGCAGCCTAAATGTCACTACAAAATGTTTGAAATCGAGCCGCCATGCTGGCTCGCGATACTTGCGAGTGTTTGTACATTGGGTTATTTGGTTAGCGAGGGCTGGGCGACGCTACAGTTCTCGCGAGACTGGGGAGGTGTGAAAAAGTGTCACTTTTCTATTCGGACGGTGCCACGGTTCCGAAACTTCAAAGCGGACGGTCCTGTTCTCGTTATTAGGACCCTCCGCTGAATACTATACGGACGGTCCACAAAATGGTAAAAAATCGAAATGGTTACACGCCCTTAGCTCGTCTGGTCGTCCCCTACTCTTGGTCAATCGTCCCGTACTCACCTCCTCATAACCAGCCCATCGCGTATCGTCCAGCTCACGGCCGCACTTCCTGACCTACAGTTTGCCTCTAGTTTATTCTTCGAATCATTTCCAGCTTCGTAGCTTCAGTCCGACCTAGAAACAGCGAATCTACTTCCTCCGACCAGCGTTCTCCGAGCCATTTCCGCCGAGTCACCATCAGGCAATTGCTGACAAGATCTCAATATGGCTCTAGGTATCTTGTAAATTAGCTGCTTTTCCCGCTAAAACAGCTGTAGTGCATACAGTACTATTACTGCGACTGCCTTTAGCCCTCAGTCGTTCGTTCTTCCCCTTGCCGCCCGCTCCCGTCCATGCGCTCATCTCGTACTTTTCAATAGAAGCCCGTGTAGACACATTTAGTTTTGCCAATTTTCTGCAAATCTTCAACCTCCGACGTGAATTCTCTCGGACCGGGCCACGCCGGCACGGGCTGCGGCTTGCGTTGCCTTGCGCTAGCCTGCATTCTTTGTCGACTCCGAAATCAGAGCGACCAATCCCGTTTATAGAACCAATCAGAGCGACCAATCCTGCAACCATTTTCCTTTCAATTCACGCAAATGCCTCCAGTAAGAGAAACCGACGCATTCATGCCTCGCTATAAGCGCCGGCAGTTGAGCCTCGTTATAGAGAATCTCTCGGAAGAAGAAGAAAGTTCCAGTATCGGGGATCAGCAGCAGCAGCAGCAGCAGCAGCAGCAACAGCCGCCGCCGCCGCAGCAGCAACAGCACCAACAGCACTTTACCGGACATGCACTCGAGGCGTTTCATCGGGCGGCGGACGTTAAGCCATTGGCGCAAAACCAGCGCCACCGCGCGGGCGGGTGGCTCGAAACTCTCCGCCAAGCCTCTCGCATCCGCGCAACCGGCGCTGGGCTTGCGGGAAGCTCCGCCTCAGCGGAGGTGCCTGCCCCCGCTCCCGCTTCCGCCTCCGCATCCGCCTCCGCTTCCGCGTCCCCCTCCGCGCCGTGCAGGTTGAAGCGGAGGGCAGCAGACGCGGGGCTGGAGTGCAGCGCGGGCTCGGCGGAGGAACCGAAGCTACTGAGGCGCGCAACCTGCCCCGCGGAGCGCGCCTACGTCGTCCCCCACCACTGGGCCTCCGCGGACCCCGCTTCCGCCGCCAACTCGCGCAACCCCGCCTCTTCCTCCCGCCCCGACCTCGCTGCTGCCCGCACAGGTGCTGGTGCTGGCGCAGGTGCAACCTGGCCCGCGGGACTCCTTGCGCTAAACGCGCTTGTCTCTCCGCGATACGCGCCGGGCCATTCTTCACGACCCTCTCCGCACTCCTCCGCCCCGCTTTCCCCCTATAAGCGTCATCCTCCACCCCCGCGTTCCCCAGTTTTTCCGCCCTCCCCTGCTCCGCTTCCCCCATTCCGAGCGGAATTCACGCGCGCGCCGTCGCCTGCTTCCACTCCTACCTCCTTACCCGGGATTCCCGCCGCATCTGGTGCTTCCCAGCGGTCACAAGCGACTCGAAGACGCTCGACCAAGTCGCCTGCCACGTCAGCGAACAATTTTACGCCAGCGGGATTCAAAGTCCCGTTCTCGCCACGCGTAGCTTGTGGTTCCGAGTCTGCTGACACGTGGAGTGGAGCAGGAGGAGCGGATCTGACGAACGACGAGAGGCCACGTGGAATGGCGACACAGGGAGAGGCAAAATCAAAAGCTGCAGCAGCAGAACTGCCGCGTCAGGAAGTTCAGCTGCTGCGTCTGCCAGCTCAGCTTTTGCTGGCAGACTCGCGCCCTCCCCCTCCCCTGAAGGAAAGGTTGGAGGATAAGGAAGGAGATAAAATGAGGAGGAGAGAGAAGAGGGGAGGAGAGGGTTTGGGGAGGGAGCGAGAGAAACAAAAAGTGGTCATGGAGGTGAGTGCGGAGGGCGAGGTGATAAGGGGAGTGGAGATGAGAGATGGAGTGGAGATGAGAGATGGAGTGGAGATGAGAGATGGAGTGGAGATGAGAGATGGAGTGGAGATGAGAGATGGAGTGGAGATGAGAGATGGAGTGGAGGAGTTTGAAAGAGGGGGTGGGATAGCAGACGAGGGGAGTGAAGCGATGGAGGTGGAGGGAGGAGGAGGAGAAGGAGTAGGAGAACTGGGAGAAGAGGAGGGAAGGGAAGAAGAACGAAAAGAAGTAGCAAGGAAGGTAGGAGGAGGAGAAACGCAAGGGGAGGACGCAGGGAGGAAAGAGGGTCAAGACGATGGCGATGGGAAAGGGGATGAAGCACTTAAAGGAGGTGAAGGGGGTGAAGCTCTTAAAGGAGGTGAAGGGGGTGAAGCAGGTGGTGGTGACAAGCAGGGCGAGGAAAGTGGATGGTTGTGGGAGGGAAGTGATCTGAAAGGGTGCTTGCTCGACGTGAGCGGGACATTTGATGGTGAAACGGTTACAAGCAGTGCTGAAGAGGTTGCAGGCGGTGCTGAGGTGGTTTCAAGCGGTTCTGAGATTGTGATACTTTGTGCAGACATGGATCTGGATGTGATGCCTCATGAGCTGAGTTGCGGCCTTGGGTCCCAGCAGGATCAGCCCCGGGAAGCTCACATGGGGCAGCATGAGACGCAGCACAAGAAGGAGCATGTGGGGCAGCATGGGCAGCAGCAGCAGCAGCAGCAGCAGCAAGCGGAGGAGTGCGCGTTGGAGCAGTTGACTCGCGTTGACTCGATGGAAGATGACGACTTCTGGGAAAGAATGGTTGCCAGCTACGGTACACTGGACGACCTGCCCGCTACAGCCGGGGAAGCCGCTACTACTGGAGTCAACAGTGGGATGGCCGTGGATGATTGTAGGGTAGGGGTCGCAGCAGTGAATGTTGGGACTGCCCTACTAGCTGCAACTCCCAAATCTGTAGCAGTTGTCGATGGTGCACAACCAGAAAGTCCCTGTCACTCGGCGGTGCATGCAGCAGTTGCTGATGAAGCTTCCCTGCCTGCTGCAACTTCTGAACCTCCGGTAGTTGCTGATGGTGCAATGCCAGAAGTTCCCCTCTACTCGGGGGTGCAAGCGGCAGCAATGACCCCCCAACCTGCTTCCACGGATGCTGAAGCAGCAGTTTCATCGGGCTCTGTGGCTTGCGCTGGTGAACCCCTTCTCACCGAGCCTGTTAGGTTCGGCAGTCCGGACCCTGCTTATCCCACCACTCCAGGCGAACTTCCTCGCCCGATCAATCACGCGAAACCTGTTGATTGCCGAGCCAACATTGTACCTTCGGCCAAGCCTGCGGGTCTCGAATCCGAAGCTGTTGCGGCCGTCCTGCTAGCGCTGCTGGCTCGGCAGCCGAACCTCAATTGCGTACAGCCCGAAGCAGGCAACTGTGTACTGAGCCAAGGCTCGGTGACACCACAAGGATCTGAACGGAGCACGGTGCTTCCAGGAAGCTTCCTTCAGCAACTCGTTAATAGCTTGAGTGCAGCAGCGCGACCTGTTGCAGAGTCACCCTCGTTAGAGTCACAGGTGCTTCAAGTGCTTCTGCTGGCATTGGCCAGAGAAGGTGGAGGGGGCTTGTCGGGACGAACAGCAGTAGAAGCAGCGACAAGCACTCAGACAGACAGGATGCTATTGACAGCAATGAACACTCAGAATAAGAATGCCTACCATCAGGACTGGCAGCAGCAGCAGCCCAACTTCCTCAAGCAACAGCTTCTTCTGTTGCTCCTTCCCGTGCTGCTACAACAGCAGCAGCAGCAGCAGCAGCAGTAGCAGCAGCAGCAGCAAGCCCAGCAGGAGCAGGGAAGTATGAAGCAGCTATATTCGGTGCTTGGCAGATTGCTTGGCAAGCCACGTTAGTCAGGATATGGTTGCACTCAATAAGGGCTGAAGCTTTGTATCTATGATAATATAGGGCCATCCGGTCCTATGTGCAATGTATATCTAAACTTTATTTCATTTATTTTTTTGGTCGCTTCTTTACATTTCATAAGATATTTTTATCCTTGTCTAGATATGCTTTTGAATGATGTTTTTCTCCGCCGTAAAGAAGCAAGCTGTAGCAGATCTGTCACGCGGCAACCCCGTTGCTCGTCACAAAATAAAAGAACGGGAAATCCAGATTGCTCGTTATCCTGGAAGTTGTACTGTACGTATGAATCCAATACATATGCTTCTGCTTTTTCGGGATCTTGAAGTAACCGTCAGACATTTCCACAGTCGTAGTACTGGTAGCTTACACGCAGCCATTTCCTGACGGGCGTACAACTCGTCTAATGCATCAATCGCCACGGCTAGCTCGTCTTGGCCATTCTCGTCACTGCGCTTCGCCGATTGAGGAGTAATCGATGTCTTGCGGGAGATAGCTTTTCGCGAAACATGGCCTCGTCTTGGTCATCCTCGATATGGTCTTCTTCGGCTGCATCGTCCGCCTCTTCGCAACCTAGTGACGAGGTAATCCTTCGCCTGCTACGTCTGGTCACCACTTCGTCCGATCTTAAATCCTGCTCGCTCGTCTCCCGCCGATGGCTCCGCCTTCACGGGCAGATAAAAACTTCTCTCAAGCTCTACGATTGGACCATGCTCGAGTCGGGCCGCCTGGCGGAACGTTTTCCAAACCTGACGGAGCTCGACCTCTCCCCAGCCTGGTGCAACTCTTCCGATCCTGAGGTGTTCGGTTCGGCAGCCGTGTACATGACACGTGGCTCGTGCACGATGCGGCTCGACCCGGACGTAGTTAATCCGTTCGAAGCGGACCACAGACTAGAGGAGCAGAGCCCGTCTCCTGACAGTTTCGACCGTGGATTGCGGGAGTTAGTTCAGAGCTACCCTAACCTACAGCGGCTGTGTTTGGTGGACGTTTTCCGCGCTAAGAAGGGATCCTACAACGCGGATAAGGACGCGGCGGGGTTTTTGGGCCACTCGCACTATCGGGCAGAACCAGTTGGTGACTCTATCGGGGCTGACTCTAACGAAGCACGCACGCAGAGGAACGGTACAGTGATTTTGGATAGCATAATTGCAGCTAGGGCTCGTTATGACGACGATTATACTGACCGCGATTCCGAAGGCCTCGATATTATCGCGGAGGGGTGTAGCATTCTACAGGAATTGGAGCTTCGGCAGTGTACAGATGATTCGTTACAAGCAGTTTCCGGGTGTAAAAATCTGCAGGTCGTGCGATTAGTGGGGGCAGTTCCGGGATTTTATCACGCGACTTTCACTGACCGCGGGTTACGAACCCTTGCAAGGGGATGCAAGCGAATAGTGGAGCTGTCTCTAAAGGGGTGCGAAGTTGGGCGGGCTGGTTTGTTTGTAGTGGCTCGGGAATGCCCTATGCTATCAGATCTGACTCTATCCGGGAGATATTTTCGCCCGGATTGGCTCGGCGCGCTCTGCTTCTGTCCGAACCTGCAGACGCTCAGGCTCGAGAATTTCCACCAATCAGAGCCCGAACAGTGTGCAGCAGCCGTTGGATGGGCGGGAGGGGTGCGGCAGGAGGTGGGAGTGGGCGGGCAGCAGAACGGGCAGGAGGAAGAAGAAGGGGAGGGGAAGGATGAGGAGGGAGGGGAGGAGGAGGAAGAGGGAATAGCGGAAGGGGAGGAAGGGGGTGAAGAAGAAGGGGGAGAAGGGGGAGAAAAGGGAGAAGGGACGGAAGGAGAGGAGCAAAAGGAGGAAGGGGAGGGGGAGGGGGGTGAGGAGGAGGAGGAGAACACGGAGCGTGCGGATTGGGCTGGAAAGCTCTTGGAAAGTGAGATGTCTGATGCCTCTCTCTCCCCCTCCCGTCGCTTCCTAGCCACCGTCAAAGCCGCAGTTCACCGCTCTAAAACCCCCAGAACCGGTCCGGGCAGCACCAGCACTCCTGCCACGCCCAGTCGCGTCAAAGCGAGCCCCAGACCTCCCCAGCCCCCCCCAGGATTTCTTTCCCCAGTGGAAACCCTACAGCTGATCCACTGTGACTTGCGCTCACGCCCGTTCTTCCTCGCGCTTCTTGCAGTCTGCGCCAATTCCACCGCTCTGCACCTTCGCAACTGCTGCGGTTTGGACGACTCCTCCCTCGTTGGAATCTCGGTCGCCATGAACCGTCGGATCGGCCAGCTGGCGATCGAAGGGTGTCCGTTGATCACGATGAAATCGCTAGAAGCGGTGGTGCTGGCGCTGCCGGGGTTGAGGCAGTTGGTTGTGGGGGACTGTGGGGGAGTGAGGGATGAGGAGATGGGAGGGGAGTTTGCGGATCGGATTTTCACGTTGAAGGAACTTAAATGGCAGCCGTCAGGAGGGAGGTTGGCAGGGACTGGGCTGTTTGAAAAGGGCAGGTGGTTGGTGCAGGGGGGGTGAGGGAGGGTGAGGGAGGAGAGGGTGCAGTGGGGTGGGATGTGGTTGGGTATACGCCAGAATTTTGAAGGCAGGATTTTCACATTGAAGGGGCTGAAATGGCAGCCGTCTGGGGGTAGGTTGGCAGGGACAGGCAGTTTGAAAAAGGCAGGTGGCTGGTGCAGGGGGGGTGACAGTAAAGAGGGTGCGGTGTGGTGGGGGAGTTGGGTGGTGTATTTCAGAATTCTGATGGCAGCATTTTCATGTTGAATGAAGGAGCTGAAATGGCAGCCGTCGGGAGGGAGGTTGGCAGGGACAGGGCTGTTTGAAAAAGGCAGGTGGCTGGTGCAAGGGGGGTGAGAGAGAAGAGGGACCGGTGGAATGAGGTGCGGCGCAATTGAATGGGATGTGGTGTGGTGGGGTGGGGTTCGGTGCAGTGCGAAGCGGTGGGGTATGGTATAGTGGGTGGTGTGGAGGGACGTACGTCAATTGGAGGGTGGTACGGAGTGGGGGTTTCAGTATAGGACCAAGTGATATGGTACTGACTTTAACGAGGGGTTGGTATGGGGGGAAAGGGGGGGGGGGGTGTACAGTAGCAGCATAGAAGCACCAAGAGAACATTCATAGGGTATTGTGGATAATTGTCAAACTATGCATATTGTGTTTGTGTAGGCTGCTAGTGGGGTAGCCCATATGGGGTACAACCCAATGTTAGGGTTAGCTTATGTACCCAACACTTCATCAATGCAATTCATTCCTGCTGTCAGATTCTAACATGGTTTCAGAGCACTAAGGTCCGTAGGACCGTTTTTTTCGGGCCCACCTACCACTGCGGTTACCGCGCTACCCCACGTACCTGCCTGCCTTGCCTTGCCTTGTGACGTGCTGCACTACGCGAGCCGTCCAGCAGCCCTAGCGCTGCCTCCTGCTGCCCTAGGCCAGCGCGCTGCCCCTAAAGGCCCGTAAGGCCCGCGCGCCGCCCCTACACGCCCTCCAGGCCTGCGCAGCCCGCACCGAGCCGCGCGCAGCCCGTTGCTACCGCGAGCTGCCCCCACCGAGCCCGTGCAGCCCGCACAGAGCCGCGCGCAGCCCCCTGCAGCCGCGCGCAGCCCGCTGCAGCCGCGCGCAGCCCGCACCGAGCCGCGCGCAGCCCGTACCGAGCCGCGCGCAGCCCGTACCGAGCCGCGCGAAGCCCGTACCGAGCCGCGCGCAGCCCGCTGCAGCCGCGCGCAGCCCGCGCCGAGCCCACGCAGCCCGCGTAGCGCCGCGCGCGGGCCTACTCCTGCCTCGCGAGGCCCGCGCGCCGCCCGCTGCAGCCCGCGCGCGGCCCGCAGCAGCCCGCGCCGAGCCGCGCGCGGCTCGCCACTACCTAGCGCGGCCGCGCGCGGCCTGCAGCAGCCCAGCGCGCTGTCAGCGCAGCCCGCGCCGAGCCGCGCGCGTCCCTCTGCCTCGGCCCCGACCTGCCGCTGATACGGCCCCGCTCTGCAGCTGCCACGGCCCCGACCTGCCGCTGGAGCGGTCCCGCCTGCAGCTGCTTCGGCCCTACTCTGCACCGGGTGTTGCGGCCCCGACGTCGCCGCTGTCGTGCGCCTACTCCGCCGCCGCCCGTTGAGCGCCGGCCCTGCTCGCCCGGCGAGCGCCTGCTCTTCCAGCCTTTGGTGAGCGCCTGCCTGCCTGCCTGCCGGCCTGCCTGTCTGCTTGCCTGCCTGCCGGCCTGCCTGCCTGTCTGCCTGCCTGCCGGCCTGCCTGCCTGTCTGCCTGCCTGCCGGCCTGCCTGTCTGCTTGCCTGCCTGCCGGCCTGCCTGCCTGCCTGCCTGCCTGCCGGCCTGCCTGTCTGCCTGCCTGCCAGCCTGCCGGCCTGCCTGTCTGCTTGCCTGCCTGCCGGCCTGCCTGCCTGCCTGCCTGCCTGCCTGCCGGCCTGCCTGTCTGCCTGCCTGCCAGCCTGCCGGCCTGCCTGTCTGCTTGCCTGCCTGCCGGCCTGCCTGCCTGCCTGCCTGCCTGCCTGCCTGCCTGCCGGCCTGCCTGTCTGCCTGCCTGCCAGCCTGCCGGCCTGCCTGTCTGCTTGCCTGCCTGCCGGCCTGCCTGCCTGCCTGTCGGCCTGCCGCGCCTGCCCTGCCCGCGCTACTGCTGCTGCTACTGCTACTGGCCGGTGGCCAGATGCAGCCCCAGCGACGTTCACGTGAGTCTCTCACGCCCCAGCAGCTTAGTGAGTGGTATACTAGCTGGGGTTGTCGCGGTAGCAGTCGTAGCTGTCCCCCTGGAGCTGGTCAGTTGGGAGCGACTGGCAGTGGCCAGCTGCAGCTGCAGCGGCGTCCACGCGAGACACTTACGTCCCGGCAGCTCCACGAGTGGTACGCTCAGTGTAGCAGGTCTACGCGTACAGTTCGCTGCCAGTACGTCCTTCGCACAGGTGATAGGACTGGTCAGCCTTGCGGGACGCTTGGTCACACACAGTCCCGCTGCTTCGCCCGTCTGAGCGACGACTGGCGTACAGTGTTTGGCGACGAGGCTGAGCTCCCCGACTGGCTGGAGCTGCTTGGACAGAGGGTAGATATCTTTGCTCCTGACTATGATGCTATTCTCACTGCCATGTATGCATTGCCTACTAGTGTTGACCGTGCCTGTTACCTGTGCGTCCCGCCTGACCCTGGTATAGCACCTGCTGCTCCCGGTACTGGTGAGGCTGCTGCCCTAGGTGCTCGTGCGTCTCCTCCTCTGGGTGCTGGTGAGGCTGCTGCTCTAGGTGCCGGTACGTCTCCTGCTCCAGGTGCTGGTGGGTCTGCTCTCTCTAGTTCTGCGCCTGCTGCGGCCTTGTACACCTTCACGCTTGACTCAGGTGCCTCCCGCTCCTTCTTTCGCGACTGCACCACACTCACGCCACTTAGTCGGCCGGTTGCAGTCTCCCTGGCGGACCCCTCTGGGGGTCCAGTCCTTGCCCACTACTCCACGGTTCTGCCGTGTCCGGCCGCCCCGTCTGGCTTGCTGTCAGGTCTTTACCTCCCCTCGTTCTCTACGAACTTGGTGAGTGGAGCTGACCTCCAGGATCAGGGGGTGCACCAGTTCACTCCTGCGAGTCAGCGGGTGACTCACTGTACGTGTGCTCGGACCGGCCGACACCTGGCCACGTTTTCCCGTGCGCCTGGCTCGAGTCTGTACACCCTGACCACTGCGTCCGCTCAGGTAGCTGCGTCTGCGTCTGCGTCCGGTCAGCCGACGGCCCCCTGCGAGTGTCGCGCTTTGTCGCACCAGACCCTCCTGTGGCACCACCGCCTTGGTCACCCCTCGGTGCAGCGCCTTCGTGGCATGCACTCTCGCTTCCTGGTTTCTGGTCTGCCCAGGTCTTTGCCTGCCCTCCCTCCCTCGCCTGTGCCGCCCTGCATTCCTTGCGTCGAGGGGCGGCAGCGCGCCGCTCCTCACTCCTCCTCGTTCCCTCCCACAGAGGCTCCCCTGCAGACTCTCCACCTGGACGTGTGGGGCCCAGCCCGCGTCCGTGGACAGGGCCACGAGCGGTACTTCCTGCTGGTTGTTGACGACTACACGCGTTACACCACGGTCTTTCCCCTGCGCAGCAAGGGGGAGGTCCCTGCTGTTTTGATCCCTTGGATCCGCGCTGCCCGTCTCCAGCTCCGCGAGCGGTTCGGGACGGAGTTTCCCGTCCTGCGTCTGCACTCTGACAGAGGTGGTGAGTTCTCCTCCGACCTCTTGGCAGCCTTCTGTGCGGAGCACGGCATCACCCAGTCGTTCACGCTTCCGGACTCTCCGCAGCAGAATGGGGTTGCTGAGCGCCGCATTGGCTTAGTCATGGAGGTCGCTCGTACCTCCATGATCCATGCGGCTGCCCCCCATTTTCTGTGGCCGTTTGCGGTCCGGTACGCCACGCATCAGCTCAACCTCTGGCCCCGTGTCTCCTTGCCGGAGACCTCGCCCACACTGCTGTGGACGGGGAAGGTTGGCGATGCGTCGCGTTTCCGGGTCTGGGGTGCTCGTGCCTTTGTCCGCGATACCACCGCGGACAAGCTCTCCGCCCGTGCAGTTCCCTGTGTCTTCCTTGGCTTTGTCCCTGACACGCCTGGTTGGCAGTTTTACCACCCCACCTCGCGCCGTGTCTTTGCGTCTCAGGACGTCACGTTCGACGAGTCGGTTCCCTTTTACCGTCTCTTCCCCTACCGCACTGCCCCTCTCCCTCCCCCGCCGCTCTTCCTCGCTCCAGGTGCTCCCCAGGTCGACCCTCTCCCCGCTCCAGGTCCTGCTCCCTCAGGTGTGTCTCAGGTAGACCCTCCTCCCTTGTCTGCGCCGGTTGAGGTCACTGGTGACTCAGGTCCTGCTGGGGGTGGTCCTGCTCGGGGTGCTACTTCTGGGGGTGCTGAGTCTGGGGGTGCTGAGCCTGGGGGTGCGGAGCCTGGGGGTGCGGAGCTTGAGGGTGTAGAGCCTGGAGGTGCTGAGCCTGAGTGTGAGGGGTCTGGAGGTGCTGGAGCTGGTGGTTCTGGGGCTGCTGAGGGTGCTAGCGCTGGAGGTTCTGGAGCTGCTGGAGGTCCTGGTGCTGGTGGCGCTGGAGCTGCTGAGGGTGCTGGCGCTGAGGGTTCAGAGTCTGCTGTTGCGCGGTCTCCTTGGAGTAGCCGCCTTCGTCCACGTGTGCCACTCACCTCGCAGCAGCTGCACGACTGGTACGGTCGCCGTCAGGGTCGCGCTGCTGGAGCCCGGGGCTCTGCTGCTGGAGGTACTTCTGCTGCCGTCCCTGGCGCTAGGAGTGGTGCTGGTACTGTTTCTACTGGAGGTGCTGGAGTCGCTGGTCCCGGAGGTGCTCGTACTGGAGGTACTGGAGCTGCTGGGGCTGGGGGTGCTGGTTCTGGGGGTGCTGCTGCTGGAGACGTGGAGGCTGGAGACCCTGGAACTGGAGGTGCTGGTTCTGGGGGTGCTGCTGCTGGAGACGTGGAGGCTGGAGACCCTGGGACTGGAGGTACTGGTTCTGGGGGTGCTGCTGCTGGAGGCACTGGGGTTGGAGACCCTGGGCCTGGAGGTGTCGG